CTTTCTTCCTTTCTTCCTTTCTTCCTTTCTTCCTTTCTTCCTTTCTTCCTTTCTTCTTTATTAACAAATGCTTTATTAAAAACTTTGAACTGACTTCATGACACTTTAAACTCTCCCCATAGCATTTAACCCACAACTTATTAAATTTACTGGATACACCTCCTAACTAATTAAATAGTGACAAACACAACTGGTCCTTTTTCCAATTAGACTTTTAAATGAAATAAACAACTTTTAATCTCTACCAAGTTTTGCACTTAAAATTCCAATTTTAAATATTGTTATCTTGAATTCCGCTTCAAAAACTAAAGCTATCCTCATAAAACGTGACATGCCATTAAAACCTAAATCCATTTCGTAAATATTTCATGTCCCGCTCCATTAGCTTGAGTTGTCTATGACATTGCTATCAATGCAATTACCTGCAAACAACGTCATGTAACTGGTGTCTATATTTACCTGTATTTGAATCATTGATAATGATAACGTTATTGCCGCAAGATCTTCACTTCGTATTTATTCCCAATTATACCATACAGATATATAATTCTGTCCGTTTTCCCCCCAGGAATATTGCAGACACGATAGCTGAATTCGAAGACGAACCCCTTTCATCTAAATTTGGGTTGTTGGTAAGTATTTCTCATCTTTGTTTTTTTATTCTGTGCATTTTTTATTTATTTATTTATTTATTATTTTTATTTCGATATTGCTCTAAAGAAAACTAGAATTAGCTCTGCAAACTCCAAATATTGCTCTTAAGAAAACTATAAATTAATATATTCATCCAAAGGGTTGTTCTTCTTTGAATTATTTCTGAAAATGTCGGGATATGTAAGTATATTTTTAAAAATTTAGGGTTTGATGGAGTATAAGAGGAGCGATTCAAATGCTCTATAAAATTGACTAACAAGTCGCAAAATAAGTCGCTGCTTCTGATCATTTTGACCATTGAAATCTTTTTCACAAGTATGGCTTGTTGGAGTCTGTGCGCCGATTCATTGAAATATCTTCTCCGCAAGTAGAATATCTCTGGCTGTTCACCAGAAAATGTCTTTAACAAATCACGTATATGTCGCCAATACGACCCGGTATATGAGTAGTGTTGCTCGTTACTCTCCCATGCTTGAAGAGTGTTCGTTCTCCGTGTCCTCCGACTTTCCTTCCTCTGCAATAGTCAACTTCTAAATACCAATTTAACTTCAAGTGGACAAATAGCTTCTCAAATCCTTTTTTTTCCCTCTATGTATAAACGTACTTCCAAAAAGAGCTAAATTTTAAAAGCACATCGACAAACGTTTTCTAGTTAATGGAAAACATAGGCCAATTTCACGATCATTCATTGAAATTAGTGGGGGAAAAATAAGAAAAATTAAACTTCTTAACACTAGTGTTGTAGCTGGTAGGATTTCTTTTTAAAAAAGGAACTCGCGTGAAGCATGCGTGATGCGTTTTGTTGATGTATTGTATTCATTTATATCCGTTGAGATATTTATAAATAAGAAAAGAAATTATGTATGGTAGATTTTACCTAATAGGAAAAGTCAGGAGTGATCAAAAAAAAAAAAAAAAAAAAAAAAAAAAAAAAAAAAAAAAAAAAAAAAAAAAAAGGATACCGAAAAAAGTATGAAATGCCCGAAATAAATTATAATTATTTTTGCTACTTTTTTGTCACTTTTGATAAGCTCAACAAATTTTAGTGAATGACAATAATGATAATAATCAATTATTTATGCTTATAACATTCTAATATTTTGGTGTATTTCATGTTCCTTTATGAATAACGTCACTGCTCTTAGACATGAAGAATCTTGGTCGTTTTGTTTGCCGAATAGACATAACCGTCTTCGGATAATTTATAACCCTTCTGTTGATTCTCAACTTTTCCATAACTATCCCTGCATCCAGTATATCCAATTCCTTTATGCCGTTTTACGTCATGCCGAGATGTTTATAACAGTATATCAACATCTTCGTTACCATAGAAACAGCCGGGGACTTTCTTTTTTGGTTGCCACGGCAACTAATACAGGATTCTAGCTACTTGACTACTGTGTAATTAATGACCAGGTTGAAAATATTTGTGCCTCAAAACTTCAAAAAATAAACCAAAAAAAAAACATTTTCTAAAGAATATTTATATAGAAAAAACTTTTTTTTATTAAATTGCTTTGTTATTTTTTAAATTTTGGTGTTTTGCAAGTACTCTGTTCTCTTATTTTCCAAAATTTGAAGAACTTTTTGACTGAACAAGTTAGTCGGTTCTTTCTCTGACTTGCCTTTGCTGTCTTTACTATTTAGTTCTAAAATATAACTAACAACTCTTTCTTGTGCTTTCTGACCAAGTGACAGTGGCATAGCTCGCGTCTTGGCGCGAAATTTCCCTCCAAATTTACCGGAAGTCAATTGGTGTAACCCTTACAAGGAAACATTTAGTCCAAAAGGGCTTTTTCTACCTCGACGTGATTGGAACGATATAGATTTTTTTAAATTTTCATGTTTTCTTGTCAAAAAAATATGCAGAATAGAAGCCTGAAGTTTAGGCGAAGACTCAGGAAATGTGTTTGCTCTCCCTTTTCTTCTCTCTTTTCAAGGAAAGGCATTATTCAAGGTGAATGGTGTTGTTGATCAAAGGCAGCTTAGTCTGGCAGTTGGTCAGCCATGTTCCATTAACACAAGTCATAAAGGTAGTTTAAACACGGACATATGTTTTCATCTATTTCATAATGGACCGGGTTATCTTGTGTGGGTGGACAGAATCGCCATATGCTGCTTAGAAGACTGGCTGTCTATAGTTAGGTATAGCTGGCTAGCTCTCTAGTACGCATGCGCAGTAGCCCCTCGACCGTTTCAGCGATAATTCTCATCACTGAGTTCTCGACCCAGCGTGAAGTAAAGCCCCTTGGAATGGTAATAAAAGATTCCAGAGTCTTCAAAGTTCGTATTCTTACTATCCTTTTATCTCGAAGGAAGATAAATCCGGTTTGAGAGGTTAGTTGAAGTGAATTTTTCTTTTCGTTATCAGAAGGTTGGGCAATATAGTAAATGACTTTTACCACTGATAAAGTGCGTCCTCTCTTCCTCCTCTAAGACAAGGACGTCGTGCCTTTTCCACGCCAAAATATTAATATCTTCTTAGCCAAAAACATTTCTTCTATAAGATTGTTTAGCATAGTACAAACTAAAACCTTATCGGCAATGGCTATATATTTAGGAATGTTTAAGTTCAAATTTAAATCTCAAGATTACCAATAGTTTCAGTAGTTTTATCTATATTATAGAAAGCTATTTTTCTTTTAATTTTGACCTTTTTAAGTTGCTATTCTTTCAGTGCACAATTTTGGCATTGTTCTGACGTCGAACTGTAAACAAACGATGCTCCKACAACAAAAAAACCTTGAATAGATGCAAGCAATTCTATCTCAACCCTCATAACTAACCAACTACAACGACCGATAAATGTAATAAAAATGTCAAGCATTTTATGTTAATACTGCCGACAAAATGAGACTTTTGAGTCAGGCGAAATAACTATTAATTGTAAGATTTTGGGGTATTTTCACAAACCAAAATAACTATCGATATCTAAACTAAAAATATTTAGATTTTGCATCAAAGAAGTATTTTAGAGATGGCAGTGTAAGAAAATTAAATTTAAAATTAAATTTTGTAATTAAATTTTGCACAAAAAAAGTATTTTAGAGATAGTATCGTAAGGAAATTTCGTGTGAACGAAAACCAGAACTAAAAAAAATAACAAAAACTAGAACTCGAAGGATTTTCTATAAATACATCGTAAATCTTATTAATGCAAGTTCACTAATAATGAACGAAAATTAAAGATGTAATATAAAGTATATTCGGTATAGCATGCTGTCTCAAAACACCAGACATAATACATTAAATAACATTGGAAAGCCCTTTGAGTGTCGACACTAGAATGGTTTCTTTAATTCAATAGCATTCTTGAATGTATGGAAGTTAGACTCATGCACTCGACGCCCTTTTTGAGCCAATATGGAATTTTAAGGTCATTTCTTACCAAATAAACTTCTGCTTTCTCTTTTATAAGATTATCAAAGATCAAAATTAGAGATTTTGTTTAAGCATTCAGTCACTCCAGCTTCGCAGTCCTTAATAAAACTTCACCCCCGCCGGGCTTCGCGATGTTTTAAAATTTGTGCAACAGCTTTGTACTCTTATAATAACTTAGATCCAAATAAGTTACCAGCGTTCCTTTCCGAGTACTCTAGCTTTGTCTGGTTTGCCGTTTTCCCCTCAGGGTTCAGAGAACAAAGCTTTCTTCTAGCGACGAGGTCTGACCCTAAGTTTGATCAAAACAGTGTTACCCAATTACATGTTAATGTGACTCTCAATATCGTAAAATTTAATTTAGCCTTTTTGCGATATCATTCGCTCATTTTCTTTTTTTTTTTTGTAAACCAGCATGTTCTTTCTTTTAGTGTTGTTAATAGACGGTTCCTTTATGTGGCTTCTACTGATTTATAGCCTTCTAATTATTCCAATCTTTTCTCTCTTATGAATGTATCATTACTAGTCCATTACTAGGGTGTTCAATTGATTTTTTGATTTTCTAACATGGGTTTTTATTTTTTTGTTTTATTTTGGACTATTCATTTATGCTTTTAATTGTAAACATGTTTCTTTTTCAATTTTTCTTTTTTATTATTAGACTCATAAGTTATTTGAAAATCTTCATTCATAAAATCTTATATAATATATATATATACTTATTTTAATAAAGTTAGTCACCTGAAAAGCTATAAAGCTGACGCCGACAAGAAATATGGGTAGATATATTTTACATGTTTCAACGGCTTGATAACAGTTGATGGACTTGCACATATTTTACCAGTTACAGTCTCACCTCTTCTGAGCATCCTCAAGCTGCAGTTTGTATCAAAAAAGCTTTTTTTGTTTGATATKAAAAGTTTCCCATGATCCTCAGTGATCTCAGCTTTCTAGGTTTTTGSTGRCTAACTTTATTGAAATAAGTATATATATATATTGATTAAAATTTCAAAATCGTATCACATTTTTGAGCTTTGCTTTAGTTATCCTATTTTCTTTTAGACGACCCGTTATATTTTACCTCACTTGACAATTCTGCCACACAACTGTCAAAATATACTCCGTTACTTTCAGCTATTGAATCTGGCATATCCTTTATCTCTCTCTCTCTCTCTCTCTCTCTCTCTCTCTCTCTCTTTTCAGCTTTCATTTAAAGCATCAACTTCTAAACTAAATGTTAACTGTATCGAAAACCAGCATTTGGTATAGCTTGTCACGCGGGTTACGAAGTTTTATTTAAGATTTATTTTTTCCTTGGAAAATAAACAACACATATATACAGTACTTAGAGAATGCGTGGGGCAGCTTCCTATAAATTTCCATCAATAAATCTTCAGTTTTCTTGTCCTTCTTCAAATTAGCCTCTCAATATTCTTCAACTGTTCTCAAACAATAAGAACGAAGTTTCCCGAACGTTCGGATTCGTATGAGCTATTCCTATGAACAAATTCGTCTAAAACTGATGTTTGTCCCAAATTTGTCCCCAAATCTTGCATAGATATTTCGACAATCCTGGTATAAAATTACATGTAATATAACTTTATGAATATATTTAATCTAAAATACGCTTTGAATATCGTGTAAACTTTCATTTAGTTTCACCGCATGGATGGAAAACAAATATAAATAAGAAACAATTATAAAGTAAAAAGGGGTAGTTCTTGAGAAATTATTGTAAAAATTTTCAAGAATTTTCGCCTGATAACAATTGCAGATTTTTTTCGTGTAATCCAGACGAGATTTTCTTGAGCGCTCTTGGTTTATTTATAGATGGAAGAATGACGTTGAAAGGAGATCAAAATTGGCAAACTTACATTCTACGGAAATGCAACCAGTGGGACGCTCTCTAAATTGCTTACGAGAAAATATTCCTAGCAGATCAAAGAGAAGATCTAACATTCTCTGGAGATTCGTTTTATTTTTTTCTGCTAATAAGATATTTTCAGTCAAAAACCTAGTTAATGATTTCAACTTTATTTTCACTGACCTTTATTTTCGTAATTGTTTTATTTCTTAAAATTAGGAATTCGAGAAAATATCATGCTGATTTGTTTTGAAGGAATATATCTAAACTAGACTCAAGAACTTGCAGTTATTAAAATTTATTTTTAGACTTTTATCTAACTAACATCAAAATACCAGTTGGAAAACAAAAGTATTTATACGACCTATACAAAACATATTAGCCTTCCTGAATAAATATATCCCAACAAATAGAGATAGATGATATATTCAAGGGTAGAATTCGTAGTGCATATATTTTACGTTTGATATAGAAAACACATTAGAAAGCGGTGAACACCACGTAACACCACGTGACGGCGGCCATGTTTGATCGAGGGCAGCAACGATGAAATGTTTTACAAGAAAAAATGTTCAATTTATCGGGGGTAAGACCAACATGGCTGCCGGCACATGATCGTGCAGAACTTCTATTGCATCGTAGAAGGTCCAGTTGAGACGTCCAATTTTACTCTCGTCGAATCTAATCGCCTTTGAGGTCTGCTGAAATCCATGAATTCGACGTCTGATTCAAACTCGAATTCATAACGGATTTATTGTAGTTATCGATGTTTTTCTTACTGTACCTTTAGAAAGCATCGATTCTAAGAAAATTTTAGCTTGTCCGACATAGCAACAGTAACTAGGGCGGTAGAACAATGAATGCGGGATCAGTGTATTCTGCCGCTCGCAATCAACTCAACGTGAATACGCGTTAACAAAAGCCAGCTATAAAGCCGTTGTAATATTGAGCCTTTATAGTTTATGCATTGAATTTGACGCGAGGAAAGTTCGGCGTTTGGTCGTTTTTGTGCGACTAGCTCAGTCGAATAAATTTTCTGTCGAATTCAATGGACTGCTTTGACGATACGGTGGCCATCTTGCCAGCGGGCAAAACAAAACGAAGATGACAGAAAATAAATAGAGTTTCGCGTGTTTTTCTTTCTTCTATCGGTAAAAGTGATCGATGTGCCGTCTTAATTCTTTTTTTGTTGTATTCTTTTGTGGAAAGCTGTTAATATCAATCGACGTCATTACTGTGACAAAACTTTATGTTTCCCCTGGACGCCCCATAATGCATCGTGATTCAAGATGGCCGCCATATCGTCGAAGTAGTCCGTTTGTACATTCAGACGTTGTCCTTGTCGTGTACGAAATGCAAATATTCGACGCGGCAAAAGTTTGACATCTGAACTGGACCTAAGGTAATCATGAATTGGGTTTGGATGGGTGGGTATTGCAAGAAATGTCAAATTATAACCAGCATTTCATTTTTGTTGTCCTACGCGGTTCAACGCTTTAGCAATTATCCCCACCCCCTATAAATGCTGCCTTTTTTCTCTGCATGAATAGGAATAAATTTCTCGATATTCGAATCCAGATTTTGGGATGTGACGTCACGGCCTCCATTAAGAAAGTTGTTTCATTACAATTATTATAATAGTATTTTAATATCCGATTTATTTCTCTTGAAATGCCGGCTCATTCCATGTTTTACATTTGATTTATTATTGTTAAATGTCTCCTGTTTGTCTTGGTGAGACTAATAGAAACCAATAAGACACACCGAACTGTAATTAGTCCCATCTAATTTCCCCAAGTTTACTCGGGACAAATTTTGTGACAGTGAAAAGAACATAGTAAAGGAAGGAAGGTGAATGAGTCCTCCCTGCCTTGTACAAGTCGTGAATGGACTTAATTCTGATTGGACGACAAGGACGAAAAGCCATGTCAAAGTTGTCGCTTTGCGTAGATGTGTGAACAGTTTTAAAGTGATTTAAGTTTTATTTTTTAACCGCCAAAAAAAAAAAAAAAACCAAGATATCTCAACTCCATAACATATTTATATCCATCTATGGTAACCATTGAAGGATATTTCCACCGTTAATATTAATGTTTCAAATGCCTTTTTATTTTCTAGGGAGAAGACAGAAGAAACTAAAATAGCTGAAGAAGTTATAAAAGTGAATTTGTGAGTATATCTTAAGTTTAAGGAACGACATATGAAGTTTTTCGCTTCGCGACTCATTATCAAGAAAACATAAAAGATATTAATCATCTCTTCACTAGGCAGTTAGAATTAAGATCCCGGAAGTCTCAAAATCTGTGAAATTAAAATTATTACTGGAAACGTTTCTACATTCTTAATGAATGAAATTTGTTTTATTAACTTAGTGAAACAGATAATACACCTAAATAGATAAAATTAGTGATGAAAGCAATTTTTGTCATTTTGAGTGGATTCATTAGCATGTATCCCAGCAACGAAAGCTTGGAAATATCTTTTATTTTGTATTTGTTTCTCGATACCCAAAAGATTTGATTAGTTTTCGTTAATTTGATGTAATATCTCCAAAAGCAAGGTTTATTTGGACTGAAAGCTGCTTCAAAAAAAGATATAGTCCATTAGATAGCACTGTAGTGCCCCCAGCTGCTTGAACATGCATTTTATCATTGACTAAAATGAAGAGACCGCGTTGACATACTGTTTGGCTCTGAAAACCAATAGTATATTCAGTCGGGAGCAGTTGAATCCGTTAAGTAAACTAAATCAGTCTTCATACTACTGGTCGCCGTTGGAAACTGTGAGCCTAATGACTGAGTATATATCACATTACTATGAAAAAGAGCTTAGAATCGGTATGCTGACGTGTGACCATCTCAACCTGAAAGAAAGACAACAGCAGTTGAAATTATAAGATAAATTCACTCTTGTAGCGAGATCACTACTTCCGAGAATCGCCAAGTGCTGACGAAAAACCGACGATTTTAAAACGCAAGCCTGCTGACTTGAGGAGCAATATTTTATCATTTTGACTGTGAATGAAGAGATTTTTCTTTTGCCGTTGTCATCATAATAAACTTGGACACTATCAGTGTGAAGACGTGATTCAATCCTCTCAGAGATATTGGGTGCTCATTTGAATTACTGCCGGGGGAAAAGCACTAAAGGTTCTGTAATCAATATCAAAGGAGAGAAGATGGCAAAGTGATACTACTGAGCTACGAAATCCGCTACACACCAAAAAATTAGTAAGTTTTCGCTTGTTCGATTCATTAGTTATTATATTTAGTCTTCTAATAAGTAATAATCTTACAGTAACGGATTATTCTAGAAACCTTTTTCTCCCCTTATTTACTGTGGTTTGTTTGTTTGCTAACTGCTAAGCGACCAAACAATATCGTCTCAACTTGCCTTCTCCTTTCACTTCAAGTATAGCCGACTTGAATCTTAGTTCTAAAGTAGAGAAGGTAAAGTGCGCACTCAACTGTCGGTTTCCCGCCGGTTGTCATAGAAACAGCAAAATTTGTGAAACTCATGATTCAAAAACAATAATTTAGTGTAGTGAAAATAATGCTACTAGCACTATTATTAGTATAATACTAGCAATAATAATTAATATTTAATAGATAATTACTGAGGCACGCAGCATTCGTAGGTATAATGCAGGCAGCTTATTATCCATTGTTTCAATTAGGTTCGACTCATGTGAAGTTCGACGTTTGACCTGAGCCTTTGACTGTCAAACCGAATTCAGTGAAACAATGGATAACAATGCAGCCTTCTTTATAAGGTTCGGCTCATGTGAAGTTCGACGTTTGACCAGAGCCTTAGTCACTAAATATACGACTTTGCTTCGAGCGCCAAGTAACAAATCAATATATAGAGGCTTTACACCATCACGTGATGGCAGCTATGACAGGAGGCAGGAACAATTGAATCTGATCTAATCTGATTTACATGACAATAAATTCAGTTTCCCCGGGGAAAAAAAGGCTATTGTTGTTCCTCCTGTCATGGCTGCCACCAAGAGACTAAAACTTACACTGAAGAGAATCTAGTGAGTTCTCAGATGATTACAGACGCGGGAAGTTTTTTATATTGATCCATAAATTTAATGAATACGATACAATACAATATTTGTATAACGAAGTTCATTCTTTAATAGCGCAGCGCACTGATTCTAAAAATAGCTTAAAGATTCGGACAAACATTGCATTCTGTTTAACCGCTACGAGGATTATACTAACCGATTTTATCATTTTTACTTAAAGTTACAATAATAACCCATTCGTTTCTAAAGTGGGCAATTGCATGACAGCGAAAATTCTGTTTATTGACATTGACATAGTTCGTGAAATAACTGACAATAGGCCCTTTGCAGCTAGTGGTCACGTGCTTGGATACCGCTTAGCAACACAAAACTGGAGAGCAAGCCTTCCAGTAAACAAAAGTTGTAATAGGTCAAGCACGCGTGGTTTTATACGATAGTTTCATCGTTCAAAACGCTTAATCCTTTTGCCCTATCTACAAACACAGTAAGATAATCTTAAATTCTCTCCTTTGGACTCGATTTTTGGTTTGAAGTAACGATATTCTTCGCGTTATCGCGAAAAAATTGTCACCGCCGGCCCGCTCGACGGCTGAAAAACATGGCGACTTCGCAAGGTATGTACTTCAAAACTCTCCTTTTTTTTGGTTTCTTTTCAATTATTGGACTTCTAAAATCTCTAAAATAAC